CATCCGTCGTCGTCCAGTGCGCCCCGCTAATTGCTTTATTTATATTCACAACGATCGCTTGGATATATTGTTTTTTTATATATCTGATACTATGTTTATGGCTTTGTGTTTGTCATAACCAAATGCTGTTCAATCAATTGCAATTTCAATGTGCACTGCCACTGCCACTGCCAGAGGCTGTTTACCTTACCCAACCTTGACTCCCGCTGACATACTCAGACGAGAATTGGATCGATCCGTAAGCATCGACATGATCATTGTTGGGCTACCGTACCGGTTCAATTGGATCTGGTTTTAGTCTGGTTCTCAAGCCGGTTTTACGGTTCTAACGCCGATTAGCAAGCACACCCCAGTCTCAGTTCAGACACAGTCCCCCCATCCCCACACACATTTACGTTGAGTCACAAATATTTCGCGTAGAATTTTTCATAACTGGCTATAAAATAGCATTGACCTTCCCCAAGAGGCTCTCGTGCATCGTGATTGAGTATTGATTTTGTTTTGGTCTTTGTTTCGCGCTCTTGCCGCGGAACTGCTCATCCCATCATCATCATTTATCTATCTACTATTTTTTTTTGGCTTATTTTCGCATTCGCAGACGCAAGCAGCTGGAGAATCTGCTGCGTTGCTATGAGGAGAACGAGTGCGACATTATCAGTGCCTTGGAGGCGGATCTGCGTCGGCCCAAGCAGGAGAGTCTGATCGTGGAGACCGAATTCATGAAGAACGACATCAAGCACATTCTGTACCATCTGAGTGATTGGGTCAAGGCAGAGAAAGTAAGCTCCACTCCACTCCACTCCACTCTACTGTAATTACTAGATCGTTCTACCATTGCTCTCTCGCTCTCTCTTTCAGCCCTCCAAGTCGATCATCAACATTATGGACGATGTGCAGATCTACAACGATCCCTTTGGCGTTGTCCTAGTGATTGGTGCATGGAACTATCCGTTGCAGTTGCTGCTGGTCCCCGTGGCCTCTGCCATTGCCGCCGGAAACTGTGTGGTGATCAAGCCCAGCGAGATCGCCGGCAGCTGCGCCAAGTTTATTGCCGAAGTCATTCCAAAGTATCTGGACAATGTGAGCACCCAATTCCAACAAATCCTGAACTAATACTAATCAACTAATTCGCATCAGGACTGCTATCCAGTTGTCTGCGGTGGACCCAGCGAAACGGCTGAGCTGCTCAAACAGCGCTTCGACTACATCTTCTACACGGGCTCCACCCGCGTCGGCAAAATCATTCATGCGTCGGCCAACAAGCACCTGACGCCCACCACCCTGGAGCTGGGCGGCAAGAGGTGAGCATTCCACGTGCATTCCATTCAGCATCGGATGGGAGGGGTGATTCATGCGTGTTCTTCTTCTCTCAGTCCCTGCTACATTGACAAGTCGGTGGAGTTGCGCACAGCTGTCAAGCGAATCCTGTGGGGCAAGCTAATCAATTGCGGGCAGACCTGCATTGCGCCCGACTACATCCTCTGCTCAAAGGAGATGCAGGACAAGTTCGTGGCCGAAGCCAAGGACGTGCTCAAAGAGTGGTACGGCGAGAACATTCAGAGCAGTCCCGACCTGAGCCGTGTGATCAACAGCGGCAATTTCCAGTGAGCAGAAACCAAAAAGGAGCATGACCGACACACTGACACTATTTTTGTTTGCCTTACAGGCGCCTGCTGGGGCTAATGAAGTCGGGACGCGTCGCTGTGGGCGGTAAGTACGATGCCGGCGAGCGTTACATTGAGCCCACAATCCTGGTCGATGTCAAGCCGAATGACCCCATAATGGAGGAGGAGATATTCGGCCCCATCTTGCCCATCTACACCGTGGAGAGTGCCTACGATGCAATCAAGTTCATCAATGCCAGGTATGTCCGTCTGTGTGTCATTTCAACCGACTGATTGTCCCTCTTGTCCCTGTCTGGATACATCTTTTCATTTGTCTTTTTCATCTGCCACAATACCACAATACACCAACAATTACAATTACAACAACAACAACAACAACAACACACCAATACAAATGTCCGGCTCGAAATGTTTTTCTCTTAGAGAGAGTCCACTTGTCCTGTATATTTTCACATCGGAAACAGAGGTTCAAAATCTGTTCGTAAACGGCACACAATCGGGCGGACTGTGCGTAAACGATACGATAATGCATTATGCCGGTAAGAGACCCCCAACAAGGTCAAATTGAATCAGAACTTAATGGCTGTGGATAATGCTAGCGGCTACGGCTTAAACGATACGCTCCCAAGTATTCCGTTCCGCCTTTTATATTTTTATAGTCTTGCTTCCCCTCTAAGGTTTTGGTCTCCCTTTTTTTTCGCCCAAAACTGTTTTTGAGAATTTATTTATTTTTAAAATTTTTTAAATATATGTATTTATATCTGGTGGTGGTGATAAATACTTTTGTATATACTTAGCCTCCTCGTTGAATGCTCCCTAGTGTGTTTTGTTATTCCCAATCCCTACCCGGCGGCTGATTCGCCCGGGCAGCTAGGTCTGACTAGCTCTAACGGTCCAACAGCCCCTGACTCCCCCACCCCCCCTGACACTTTTCATCCAACTTTGCGCATTTCGTGTTGTATTCATGTCATTGATGTGATGTTTGCAGATCTGTGGATAAGAACAGAGAAAACGTTCAAACAGATCTGCGAATGTTTCTTGGTTTGTCTTTTATGTGTAACAATCTCTTTTTTTAGCTCTGGTTGATGTTGATGCTCGAAGAAGTCGACACATCAACTGCACTCTAATGTTAAAAACTGTCACTTAATCTGCTTAACAATTACTTCCTTCTCCTTCCTTACTTCCCGTAAATAGAGAAAAACCTCTTGTAATTTACGTGTTCTCAAACTCGAACAAGCTAGTTAAAGAGTTCCAGAGCAATACCACAAGCGGCGGATTCTGCAGCAACGAAACTATTATGCATTGTGGAGGTATTTGCTATGCTAATGTACATATGTATAGTTATAGATAAGAGCACTTATTTGAGTAGTACAAGTAGTCCATGTTGTATATCCATATTGGATGTTGGACCCTATTTTATGGGGTCTGCGCACTGCCTCACTCAATCAATCAATGTTTGAATTGCAAATTATGCACAAACACCCCTGACATTTGACTGTAGACATATGTAGAACACCAAGAGCACCACAGCTACAGACAGCACAGCACACCACAGCACAGCCCAGTAAGACAAACACGCCGCAGCACATATTTTTGAATTTAAATTAAAGCTCTTTGTTTCGGTTTTGGTTGGGGTTTAATGACTTGGGTTCTTTGGCTGGAATTTGCTTAACAATATAATGCTTGGTACATAGAATCGTAAGAGTAACTAAGACTACTAAACATAACTTTGGTGGTAGCCCTTAATAGGTAATTATAAAAGAAAACATCTCACATGGCTTCTGCTCAAATCCACAGTTGATGTGCTGCCCTTCGGCGGCGTTGGCATGAGCGGCATGGGCTCCTACCATGGCAAATACGGCTTCGACACCTTCACACACAAGAAGTCGTGTCTGGGCAAGGATCTGTCAGCGATCGGTGAGAAGTTGGCTTCGTAAGTTTGCAGTTTCCATTGCCCGCCCGATTGGGATAATATACATGTTTTTTGTTTTGTTTTCGCAGAGCTCGCTATCCCCCGTATTCGGATCGCAAGGGATCGTTCCTGTCATTCCTGCTGCGCAAGCGCCGTCCTCTGCCCAATTTCTATCTGACGCATGTGCTGGCCGTCGGCCTGGGCGTGGGTCTGACGGTGCTGGCCAACTATTACCTACAGGTAAGAAAGGTATTTATGCTTGCAACTCACACTCACCGGCAATCTGTATATATTAAACGTATGATTATCTTCCATGCACATCTTCTGTACCATGCCTACTCTCGAACACACAACATTACTGGGACAACACTCGAACCTGCATCAAAACAACAACAACAACACCCTTCACCCGCATTCTACCCAATTCATACACTACCGCCACTGTCCGCCGTATTTAGGGTAAGCTGTTGTCGCGTTAGGATCGTGAGTAGCACCGAGAGACCATCACGCCGGCAGCCTAACCAGTGGAGCCAACCATTTAGATGTGGATCTGTTTGAAATAAATGTATACTCGTAGAATAGTTTCTTTACTGGTTTTAATGCTAAGCTGATACTAACCACCATCACCACACACACCCGTACATTCACTTACTCACAGAATTTGGAGCAGGGTTTTTGTGTGTGTTTGGATGCACGAAGCTCTCAAATGAAACCATGAACTGTACTCGTATAGATGCTTTTATGGATCGGAAATCGCTTGCCCAAATGAGCATTATTTTATTTATCCCGTACTCCAATTTTTATTTTCAGAAAAATTCAACTGAATAAAGGTCAAAACTTTTATACTTATTAAACGCATATCGGTGGGTCATGTCTAGCTTTGGATACTTCGTGTTACACATATTAGTTATTGTTATTTAGTTGCTATTTTATACAAATGTGAATGCTTACTACAATATATGTCAAAACAAATTGGCGTGAAGTGTTCTTCTTTCCGTTGGGTCGTGGGTCGGAATTTTTGAATTTAGCGGAATCTGGTGTAAGTTTTGCAACACTGTCGTTGACCACATCATATGAAATATACCATTAAATACCGAAATATAGATTAAATATACCACATATACCAGTTTAGGTATATTTTGTTCGATAAGTCCACTGTTTGGAATTATTGTTTATTAGAGCTGTCATCGAAAGTTTTGAATGTTTAAAAAAAAACAATCGATACTATCGTAATATAATATAATATAATAATATATAATATAATATATATATAATATAATAATAATAATTAAAAAACCATCGAAACCTTTTAGGAACTTGTCCATTGTAAAAATTTGTCTTCGTATTTTAGAGCAGCCAATCCAAACATATCAAAAGCGCAACGACTGTAGCTCGATACTATCATGATAGTCTCAAAACCATCGATAGTAGAGGATAGCAGCAAAATATCGATACTATCGATAGTGCCCTCTTTGGTTTGACACCTTATTATCGTAGGCACAAATTTTTTGTCAATCATTTACGTGAAAATATTAAAAAATACATTGATAAAATGGCCGCTCGCGGCGATATGGTTGCACAATTCATTGAAATTACCGGCACTGACGACAACACGGCCACGTTCTACTTGAACAGCTCCGAGTGGGACATAGAGGTGAGACATGCAAGGGCCGGCGACTTAACAGCCATGATGCAGCAAATACTAATGCATTTTTGCCCTGTTAGCAAGCTTTGGGCAACTACTGGACCACCCAAAGTGACATGCCACCCACTCCGACAACTGGGCAGTCGAACGAACCATCGCCAACTACACCCGTGGCACCAACTTCTAGCAGTGGCACAGCCACCGCAGCAGCAGCCACCACCAAAAGCGCCGGCGCTGATGCTGGAAAAAAGGCAACAAAGGCCAAGCCAAAGTAAGTGAAATGAAAAACCCTTAAAAGTCTTAAAAGTAACAACTATTTGGTGATAGGTTCGCCACACTAAACGACATGTCGAAAGAGCCCTCGGACGACGAGGAGCATCAGGCATTCTATGCGGGGGGCTCGGACCGCTCTGGCCAACAGGTATTGGGCCCACCCAAACGCAAGAACTTTCGCGAACAACTTTCCGATATGATGCGCTCAGCTCAGGAGCAGAACGTAGGCGATCTTGGTCCTTCGACCAGCAGTGGCTCCTCTGGAGGCGCTGGTAGCGGCAACGTTTGGGGCCAGGGAATGCGACTGGGCATGACCGATAGCGATCACACAGCCGTGGGCATAAATCGTGCGACAGAGACGTCGGGCAACAAACCGGTAGTGGTACTTAAACTTTGGAGCCAGGGTTTCTCCATCGATGGGGGAGAACTGCGTCACTACGATGATCCAGAGAACAAAGAATTCCTAGAGACTGTCATGCGCGGGTAAGCAACGATCACGTTCCACATTTAGCAACAGAAATTGTATTGAGAATGCTTCTGTTTGGCTAGGGAAATACCTCAGGAGTTGCTGGAAATGGGCCGCATGGTCAACGTCGATGTAGAGGATCACAGACATGAGGACTTCAAGCGCCAGGCAGCACCTCAGACATTCAAAGGATCCGGGCAGAAGCTCGGTAGCCCCGTGACAAATGTTGTCACCACAAAAGCCCCTGCCGTCGCTGCGGCCGCTGCAGCCGTGCCTCCCGGCGAAGCCGCCCAACAAGAGGCCAACGCTCGTGATGCTATCAATTTGAACTCGGAAGCTCCATCGACCACACTGCAGATACGTCTTGCCGACGGCTCCCGCCTGGCTGCGCAGTTCAATTTGACACACACCGTCTCGGACATCCGTCGATTCATACAAACGTAATATGCTCGTATAATATTTGCAGGCTTTCGAGCCGTCATTCATCTCTGGAAATATTCTCCATTTTCATTTCAGAGCTCGTCCACAGTACTCGGCCAGCAATTTCACCCTGGTCTCTTCGTTCCCAACACGCGAGTTGAGCGATGATAGCTCCACCATCGAGAAGGCTGGCCTCAAAAATGCCGCGCTCATGCAACGTCTCAAGTAGAATCCTAAGTGGAATACCAAAGCTACGTTTTCCTCGTGGGGAGCATTTGGCTTATAAAATTAACGGTGAAGTTATTGCGGATTCAGTGTGTATAATTATCTATTATATATCCAATATGTATACATTTTCTGAACATTCTCTTTATGGCAGTCAAGTAATCTCTCAAATCATGTAAACTCGAACTTAGACTAAATTGAACAAGGGAAAGGCTTAGCTTAGCTTAAATGAGTAGGTCCACCTCGTTGCGGAGGTTGTTGATGTGGTCCATGAAGTCCTTTCGCACTCCGTTGCGCCAGTCGTGGAGACCATCCGCCCCAACATCGGAACAGTCCACATAGCGATGCACGAATCCGGTGGACAGCGAAAGCTCAACGTGCGCCGTATTTGCCAGAATCTGTGTCGGGGGCAGCTCCAGGCGCTCTAGGAGCATTTTGTAGGGAGCTTTTCGTTCGGGGTCATATTGAATATTGTCGAGCAGCAGTTTTTTCTGTTCCTCAAAACAGACGGCAAACGTGGCCAACTCGAAGCGTGCTGTGTCGGCGGAGAAGTGACGAAGCTGCTGCTGCAGCGAACTCTGGGAACGATCGGGCGCAAAACGTGCATTTGGATAGAACACTTCGTTCGGCTGCAGTAGTATGGTGAAGCTGGCCTGGTTTACATTCCGCAGTAAGCAATCAGTCTGCAGTAGTTCGCGAACTCGGCTGGCAGTGGCGTTGCTTTGCAGGAAGGGAAAGTTGAAGGGAAGCCCATACAGATGGATATTTGTGCGATCCAGCACGCGAATGATATTCTCCGGCAGTTCATCGAAGTTATATACCAGAAAGTGTTCAATGCCGAGAGCCTGGTGAATCAGAAAGAACTGAAGCAGGGCATTTTCGCTGCGACCGAATCTCGAGGTCATGTTGAAGCTCACAAGATCCACACAGACTGTTGCCGGTAAGCGAGCTGGCACCGCAGCTGCCTTGGCGTCTGTGTTCTCACTCGCACGCTTGAGATGATGCAAACGTAGCTTGACCGGGCTCTTGATTGACGTGATATCCGTGAATGAAACACTCTCCGGCTGGCCAAAGTCGCGGCTCACTTGACAGAAGAAATGGTAGCTAGTAAAGTTGGTGCTCTTGTCGTTGATTAGACTTTCACTGGCATCGCGTTGGAATCGAAATTTTCCCTGCACACTACGCGTCCCGCCAACAGCCAGGCTGCATCGAAAGTCCACAACAGCTCCCTGTTTGCCAACTACTAAGGGCGTGTGCTTCTCCGCCGGCCACCAACTCTTTTCGCATCCAGTAGGCGGAGTAGGCATGGAAGGAATCCCCTATCACCTGCCACACTGGCATCGGCCGCCATAGAGCCGCTTGAGGCAGATCTTCCTTGGTTCCGTTCTCCAAGCGGCGCAACACGGCGACATCACTGCGGCCAAAGAAGTTCACATACTTGAGGACATATTTGAGGCGATTGTTTTCCGTCTTGTACATCAAGAGCACGCCCACGCTCAAGCAGGAGATGAGCAACAGCACCAGCTGTTGGTATTTTCGCATTTTTTCTGGATTTCCTAGCGAAAGATTGCTTGAATTAAAAGATTAATAACCACAATAAAGCGTGGCACAAATTTGCGTACGTTGGGAAGTGAGTATTTACCTATCAACTATATAAATCTGTGGTGTGGTCCTTTACTTTTAGAAGGAGGCTACAAATCGAACACAACAATTTTCTTGTTAAAATCTGTGTGATTATAATTAATTAATTATAAACAATAATGTTCTACCTGTTAACAGCTGTTTGTTAGTATTGCCACCCCAAATGAAAGACTTTTAGTGGAATACCCTCTACCAACAGCCAGACCAGACAGCTGATTGTATTTAAAGTAGTTAAAATTGTTTGTTTTGTTATTGGAAGCACACTATTTCTTGAAATATATTCTGCTGTTGACCGTGTGGGAGTGGAATTTAAATTAAATCAACAGGCTAGAAATGAACGCCACTGCCACTAGCAATGAACCTGAGCTGTGATTCCTCTGATTGCAACGAATTAATTAAGAGCAAATTTTACCGGACCAGCGGAAAATGTGGTGGGAACAACACAACATTGCTCTCTGCTTCTAAATTGTATAAATAATTATTCTTTATGCTCCCCTCCCCCTAGCGATATATGCACGCCAATCGGAGGTCTATGTTCAGGCGAAGCCGACTCCAACGCCCAGAGTCAGCGCACCAGCATCATCATCCATGGCGGAGAGCAACAACAACATAACCCACATTCGCCATGACATTTGGTTCCACATTGCCATGCATATAGATCCCGAGGACGTGCAGACTTTCGCCCTGATATGCAAACAGACCGCCATGCTTGTGAGCTCTCGAGCATTCTGGCGGAACCTGTATAAACGATATTGCGCGGGCGTGACGTTGGGCTGGAACCTGGCCTTGCCAGCCCACTTGCAGATGGAGCAAATAAGTAGCTGTGATACAAAAGACTTGCGATCGCTTGTCGTTAAGGCGCTCTTTTACTGCCACAGACCATTGAAAGTCCGAAAAGAACAGGGCTACAATCTCGACTGGCTGGTCCATCGCACCTTTGTCTCATGCTGGCAAAAACAACACCGATGCCTGTGGGTAATCTGCTATAAACTGTGGAATAAGCAGCCAGGCGTAAATTTTGAAGAGTCTGAAGCCCCAGCTAGCCAAGTTGTAAGCGATTGGGAGTCGCTTGTGGAAGAGGACGCAGGGCAGCTTCCACCGGCCATTGGCAATCCAAACGAAGGCGTTATGTTACTGGTTGTGGTGTGCCGCCAGTTTGTGCCTACTCCTACGCGGTTGGCCTATAGCCAACAGCAGGCGCGTTATCGCCTGAAAGCCACCCGGGAGCTGCTCTGCACAGACATGCGGGCGAAGAACTTGGAGCTAGACTTCGCCGAAGACTCCAGCAGAAATGCGACTGTCACTGTGAAGTACGCGCGCATTGAAAAGTACAAAGTATTGCCTTGGTGGCATCCAGACTTCCAGATATTTGTGAAGTAAATTCCGTGTTACCCTTGCAATTACACTTGTTTCATTCGCGCGAGCATCAATGTGATTGTTATCTTTCTGAAGGCACTGACAGCGCTGGTTGCTCCTTATCTAAAGTGCTACTGGGCGGCCGGTAGCATGTGTTCGACAGACAAGACAATGCCGGAAGCAAGCGTGTAAACAAGAGATAGATGTTGCTAAATGCATTTAACATTTTATTCAAACGCACACGGATGTCGTTATTGCGGGAAATCACATTTGCATACTTAATAACAAAATCATAAGAGTGTGCATCGTCGTTATAAAAAAGCGAATGTTATCATTATGGTTACGGGACTAAAACTGGAGGAAGCCTGCTCATATATACACTTTGATCTTAAACATAATTTTGTGTGTGTGTGCTACCAATAAAATCATTGAAGAGGTGGTCATTGTGTAAATTCCGGCATTCGGTGTCTTTGTGTCATTACTAAAATTAGTGGAAGCATCATCCATTGAAGATTGGTTCTCTCTGGCCCGGCTCTACACCTTGCCAAGCAGGTCGTGTCCGTACGGCTTCTTGCGGTAGCCCTTGAAGGCGAACAGCTTGAATGCCACGACCATCATCACAATGCAGAAGGCGTACAGAAGCATCCCCATCCTCATGTCAATGTCGCTGAATACACTTGAAATTTGACGCTTTTGTCGCATTTTCTCCGCCGTCGCATGCAGGAGATCCTCCTGTTGCACGCCGTATCTGCTTACAAACTGAGGATTGTTTATGTTTTTGAGAAAGCTTAGAACTGCATCCTTGTTCCAGTTGATTTCCATTTTGTCCGACGTGGAGCTGGGCGTGCGGTAGCACTGGATGCAGCTCTTCTCGCTGGGAAACTGTATCTTTGGAAACTGAGGATCTTCTGTGTCGTCGCCGGCCAGGCGCTGGTTCACCTCGTTATGCGCTGCCCACAGCCATAGTACGGCTTCTTCCTTGTTCGGCACGCTCCATATCTTCCGTCTCGAGGCCATTGCCTGCAAAACAGAAACAAAACAAGTTATCCAATGGGCTGTGCATATGTCACAAGTGCGCATCTGTTGGCACAACTGCGAAGACAGGCCAACTTATGAATGTATGTCATTGCACGTAAATATCATCGTAGAATCGACTACTTACGGTTTAGTTAACGTAAACAACGTGTCAACAAGAAACTTTTTCTTTCTGTGCAGATCGAAGATTTTGATACTCTTGCAAATCGATCGTTCCATTTGATGGGAATTTTTTCATAGCCGGTTAACCAACACAAGATGTGCGAAGACTAATACATGTATATATGGCTATGATTACGTTCTTGATATATGTATGCTATATTTCTTTGTGGGGTCGTCAAAATCACAATACTCTCAACAAGGGTAAGGGTATCAAAATTAGCACGTTTGTTTGTTTGTTTAGGTTTTGCAATGATTTTCGATTTTCCTAACAGCGAAATCTGAAAGTTTTCTGCGGAGGGTAGTAGTAGTAATCTCTGTATTATATGATAATAAATAGAAACCGGTTTCCTCTATGAATCGTTTGTTGTGCTGACCAAGCATTTAGCGGATAGAAGTCGGAATTATAAAAAAGAATCCACATCAAATTTGTGATTGTTCAATTATAGCTTTCCAATAATGTTCAGCGAAATTGATTGTATAGAATACACAAGTTCCTGGCCGTGCTGATGCCGGAGCTACTGATCCATAAACTCAATTATTTTTATTGTCGCTGCAATTATCAGTGGCAGTAGCTGTGCTGGCTATTCCATATATTCTGGCCAGCGACTGTAACAAAAATATTTTCTAAAAAAAAATTTGTTCCGTATGGAAAAACCCCACTGTCAGCGGCTCAGGCACCTTTGCCTCTCTATCTTTCTCTCTCTGTCTGCTTGTCCCTTAATGACCGTACTGATCTCATATGAAGAGCTTTTGCCTCGAATCAGCGATATTGTGGTCATTAACACGTACACTGGATAGCCTGGAGCTACTGGTGACTCACCTGAAAATGATCGGCACATTCGGTGCAGCCGAAGAAGTTCTTGATGTAGCCGTGCATGGCCTGTAGCACTTCAAGGGGATCCAGCGACTCCTCGTTCTCGGCCGCCTGCACTGTCATGAAGTGGAACAAGGTCCATAGAGAGCAGCTGTAGCCCCGCAGATTTGGACTGGAGCCGGTGCAGCCCACGAAGTGCGTGGATGAGTAGATGGGACCCAGTTGACTCTCGAGACGCTGCAGTTCTTGCTCGAACTGTTTGCCTGTCAACTCCTGATTGAACTGGACCACATAGTCCTTGAGCTTGGACAGCAGCTGGTTGCCATTGGATCCCAAGGGATTGTAGCGTTGCAGCACGCCCAGGAAACGTTGGAGGGCCAGTAAACGTTCGCCTCCGATCTCGTTAACCTTGGGCACTTCGTTGTGCAGTACTATACGGATTGCCTGCTCGAGATCTGCCTGATAAACGAAATGCTTGTTGCGATGAACTTCCTCGAGGATTGCCTTGTGCTCAACCCTTGCTCTATTAGCTGCAACCGGAGCATGCTGGTTCTCAACCCTCTCCGGCCTGGGTGTTATGTTCTTCTTGCCCAGAGCCATCTGAATGGTCTGGGAATACGATGGTCCAGTCTGTTCCGCTGGTGTGTAGGGTGTGATTTCGCCCTTGCGATCCACAATGGACAATTGATGACTGGTGGGATCAATTTTAAATTTGGAAGCTGCCGCCAGATCGCTGACACGGCGCACCTGCAGGGAGGGCCACTGTAGGAGGAACAGAGCCGTTTCAATGCCCACTGTGGAGTTCTCTGGCTCGTATACAAGTGCCACAAACTCGCGTAGGCTACTCAGACCCTCGAAGATGGTAGCGGTGGAGTCGTTTTCCGTGACATGGTGGAAATTGGGCCAGTAGGTGTTGTTGGGGCTTGTTATATTGTCAGCGGCCAGGAAGCCCGCCAATAATCCGCGAATCTCGACCGGATCCTGCGATTTGAGATCCTGGCCATAGTTCTTTGCACTGGGCTGGAAGCCCGCACCCATGTAGCGGAGAGTTGGATAGCCCATCACCTCGTAGGTGCGACAGATGCCATTGTTCTCCTCTGCCGCGCAGTCAATGGCACCGACAATGACCACATCCTGCCAGGAATGCAGCTGCTCGGCCACCTGCTTGTAGGTGGGAGCAAAGCGCCTGCAGTGCCCGCAATAAGTGTTGTAGAACTCCACAAGCGAGCCGTGATTCTGCTCCAACACGGTTTCATTGAAATTCGCCACACTCAGCTGGACAACCTTGTCATTGTCGTCGTACAGGCCCAGTTGGTCGTCTGTGGGCTCTGACTGCTGCTTCAAAAGTGCCTCGTATCGCTGCAGCGGGACGCCAGCAGTCACGGTCTCCAACAGCAGAATAACTGTTAAAATTGCCAGCTGCGCACCAGACATTTTCCGGAGTGGGAGTGGGTGTGTGTGGGATTCGTGTGCTGTGCTTTGCAATATAGAAGCGACTGATATGATAAGTTTTACCGCAGCATTTGGAATGTTTTATGGTTTCAATACTTTGATTAGCTATGCACTCTCACTTATTCATTGAATTCTCATTTCGCTCGCAGCTCCGTTGCGAACTAGTTCATAGCTGTGAATTGAAGTGTTGTCCACTTCCCTGTTTACACTAGGGTAAATCACTATCACCACCAGCAACAACAACAAAAACCAAGAGACCGTCCATATATAAATCGCTGAAACTAATAAATAATTACAGCATCCGTCGTCCATTCTCCGGCCGTTTTCCATTATTTGTTTTACTTCAAGCTGTTTTTTATAAAGCAAGAAACAATACCGCAACTTGATGCTTATTATTCGTTATTCTTTTATTTCGATAACAAACGCGCGGCAGTGAAAACGGGCTAAACTAGCTCGAACTAGTTCGGACTGTGCCATAGCTTCGCACTTTGTACATCTAGTTCACTGATGCTCCATTAATCATAATTAAGTATAACTGCCACTGTGCGAAATAATTATTGTTATTGTACAGTTTAATGTAACTTTGAAGTGCCCCATTGTCAGCCAATTCCAATTCCCATTAGACCAACCAAACCAAGTGAACCTGGTTATTGGTTCATCACTCAGTTGTCCAAACAGTCAACCCGTGCGCGAAAATAACGGGAATACAATGATTTTGCGCTCATGGGATCGGGTTCGGCCGCGATGCTTAGCTGATTTGTCGTGCCTACTACTTCTGGTGGTGTTTGTTCCGGTTACATACGTCTTTCAGATGACTCTTGTGCTGCCCGAGTTGTTTGGAGTCGGGGGCTTCTGGTACACGGTGATTTGGGTGGCCGCTCAGTTTCTGGTATTTAACATCACCGCGAATATGCTCGCCTGCATGCTGGTGGACACCACTATCAGAAGTGAGTACAAGCAAGCTAAGCTGTTCCAAATGCAATTTCAAAGTTTCGTCTTTTAGTGGAGCTTCTGAAGCCGCCGCTGGATCCCGATTTGCGAGCCCGTTGGCATATGTGCAACGAGTGCCAGGCTCTGGTGCCACCCCGGTCATGGCACTGTGAAGTATGCAGCGTGTGTGTGTTAAAGCGGGACCATCATTGCCGCTTTACTTGCTGTTGCATTGGACATCACAATTATCGTTATTTCGTCTACTTTCTACTGTATCTGATGATTGGGTCCTTCGTTGCGAGCATCCTGGGCGGCATCTATCTGTGGAATGTGCACTTCGACTTCTATTGGCGACCATTCACCCTGATCACCGTGTTTGTCCCTGCTTTGAGCCTTGCTCTGAGCCCCTGCTGGGAAAGCTTTTATTTGCTTACATACGTACTAACTTGGCTGGCCTTTGCGATATCCAGCCTGCTACTCGTCTACCACTGGCCAATATTTCAGTTGGGCTCGGTGGCAAAGGAGCGCCGCAGCGGCAATTACGACCGTGGGCTGCGGGCCAACATGGAAATGATTTTCGGCAAGCGGATGTACTTGACGTGGTTATCTCCGTTTGTGCGCAGCGAGTTGCCCCACGATGGCATCAACTGGGAGCCCGTGCCCACGCATCTAACGAAAGAGGATTAACACTAGTCAACCACCTCACCAGTCAGCACTCGAATAATTGGATCTCAATCAACTCAATATTATAGTATTAATTTAGCACATACCAAAGCATTTATTTAACAATCGTGTTTGCATCAATTACATACGAATTCTTACAACCAAGTTGTCTACTTCTCAAGAAAACCTTCGCCGACCAGCGACTTCAGCTTGGCTAGATGGGTTTCGTTCAACGTGAAGCCATCGTGGATGCGCTTGGCGAGGACACTCGATTCCATGTTGTTATCGATAGCATACTGGAGGACAGCCAAGGCCTGGCTGGGCGATTTCTCATGGACCGAGGCCTCGACATACTCTTGCAGCGCGCTCTCGGCGGGTGTGCCAGGAATGCGATGCTGGTTTTTGTCAATGTGGGTGAACACTTCGCTGGCCTTCTCGTAGTTGTTGCCTCGGACGAGCAGTGTTAGAATGTCGCCAAGCATTTGTCCGGTGAACGAGACCTTTCTAATCCGCCTCACCGACTCCTCGATCTTGTTGTACATGTCCAGAGCCACCTTGGCACATTGCTCCGATAGCTGGGATTGGGCAGGCGTGTCCGCATTCGGTCGATTGTCCACCATAATGCGCAGAACATAAAGCAAAAGGCTCTCGCGGTGCGTGTGGTCGAACACAACCATGTCGGACCAGATGCGAGGCACATGCTCGACTGCAGCGTTGATCTCAATGGTCCGGAGTACTTCCTCCATGATGCCCGGCTCGGGTATGTAAATGTTGGGCACCAGCAGGTCGTAGGTCAGCATGAAGTCCTCTATCGATTCAGTCTGGCAGAGCAGGGCCAGATAATTGCGGTAGTAGACAGACTCTTTGAAGGAATCGCCTATCAAATCGTAGTTGTTGCCCGTATGCAGCAGCTGGTTCACCTTCTTGGCCAGCGACTTGTCATTTAAATGATTGCGGCACACATCCATGGCAGTGGCAAAGAAGTACGTGTCCTTGGGATGCTCAACCCTGAACTCCCTGCCAGCAATCTCGTTCAGTATATCCACAATGACATGGGAAACTGGACCGCGCTCCCGGCAGAAGATGATCAGCAGATAGTAGTATGTGCCCAGGCTCGGGCTAACACCAAGTTGTTTAAACTCTGGCAGAACTTTTAGGGCCGATGTGCGGGCAAGTTTGAAGTTGCCAAACGTACTAATGCACTGCAGAACAGCATTCAAAGTGCCCAAATCGGGGCGCAGTTTCTGCTCAGACATTTGCTGCAGCAGCTCGGTGCACAGTTGCCATCTCTGCTCGGCATTGTCCTTCAGAAAGCTGATGATCTGGATAATCGAATTGAAAGTGTTTGTGTCCAATTGAATTTGCTTTTCCCCGGCCTCCTGAAGCAGGGCGTATGCCCGCTCACACTGCAAATACTTGGCCATGCCACGAATGAGGGAAGCGTAGGTCTTGGGCGTCTTTGGTTCAATTTCGGCATACAGTGTCTCAGCCAGGTCACCGTCCTTCCACGTCTTTCCATGCCGCTCACGTCGACGGTTGTTCTGCAGAAACCACCGCTCCTCAATGTACTCTTCTGGTAGTGGGTCTTGATTGTTGTGGAAGCAAACAAGCTCTAAAAGACTTTGCTTTAGCTCAGGGCTGACGGCTATCCCCTTCTGTCCCATCAGGTTGTACACAAGCACGGCGTCCTTAAGCTCTCCCTGCTCAATCAGTTGCCCGAGAGAACTCTCATCCACCTCCGACTCTTCAGTGTATACCATGCTGGGGGCAAATTTTTCAATGGCTGGTTGCGCTTCTTTGTGCTGTGTTGTGTAAAATAGTTAACTAGAGGCAATCTTTTTACTGTCCACCTACCAGAAATAGTTCATGGTGCTCTTCCTTTATCCATTTGGCAGCCTTGCGTCCAGCCTCCTTCGACATGGCGTATGTGCGCTTCGCCACATTGGACATGGGTATCAGGAATGGATCATCGTGGTACTTGTAATGGGGCGCCGTGTGGTCGCGTCCCACGGTGCTGGCCAATGCTTTGAGTATGTCCGTGGGCGAGCGTTCTATGCGATTGGGAACTTCAATGTGCTCCCCAGCCGGTTGCGAGGCAGTGCCTGTGGTGGTTGTGTAATGCGTGCTACTGGTAGTTATGCTGCGTCCAATGCTGGCCTTGGGCAGCAATCGGAGCTGGCGCGTTAGGTACATGGTAATGCAGGTGCGGCCCAAAATCTCGGCTGTTTTCACTAATGTTTTTAAAAATTATTTAAATAATAATTCTGTGATATCGTCAGCGTGACCGTGAGATAAAAATACCATTAAATACCAATTCAGTTTTGAGAAATACCATTTAAATGCCACACCATAAAAAACCAGGGCAATCCGGCGACACTAACCATATATACTGTATGTGCCAGTTCATACAACGAACGTGTCGCAGATGAGTTTTCAGCGAACGTTCCCAGGTCTTCGGCTCTGGGGCCGATCGCGTTCGGCTCTGGGAGAGATAACACTCCAAAATATATGATTGTATGCATAGAATAATTTTAAGCTGCCGAAACCGATTTTGCTTGAGATTTCAGTTTACGTAAATGTGTGTGTGTCATGTATTCTCACATACTGTGCTTGTGTGGGTTCTACAATTTTTAGCCGCTTGAACCGAAATTGATTTTTATTCCCGTACTCAAAAAGAGTTAAGGGGTATATTTTATTTGTGGTAAAAGTGGATGTGTGTAACGCAGATAAGTAAACGTTTCCGACCCCATAAGGTATATATATATTCATGATCAGCATCAATAGCCGAGTCGATATAGCCATGTCTGTCTGTCCGTCTCAGAGACTATAAAAGCTAGAGCAACCAAATTTTATTTCCAGACTCATGTGATATCACACTTCTACAAGTGTATTTCAAAATTTCGCCCCGCCACAGATTCAAATCTGAGATACCAGGCGAACAGAAATCAGCAGAAGGTCGCTGGTTTTTTTAATTTCTCTCTTTTTCTTGTTTCTCTTTGTCTTTCGTTGCTCTCCTTTTTCGATCTAATTTCTCTCATTTTCTGCCTCCACTTTCCACCGCTCAAATGGCAGAAAGCCGTTAAATTCGAATCTGAGATACCAGGCGAACAGAAATCAGCAGAAGGTCGCTGGTTTTTTTAATTTCTCTTTTTTTCTTGTTTCTCTTTGTATTTCGTTGCTCTCCTTTTTCGATCTAATTTCTCTCATTTTCTGCCTCCACTTTCCACCGCTCAAATGGCAGAAAACCGTTAAATTCAAATCTGAGATACCAGGCGAACAGAAATCAGCAGAAGGTTGCTGGTTTTTTTAATTTCTCTTTTTTTCTTGTTTCTCTTTGTATTTCGTTGCTCTCTTTTTTCGATCTAATTTCTCTCATTTTCTGCCTCCACTTTCCACCGCTCAAATGGCAGAAAACCGTTAAATTCAAATCTGAGATACCAGGCGAACAGAAATCAGCAGAAGGTTGCTGGTTTTTTTAATTTCTCTCTTTTTCTTGTTTCTCTTTGTCTTTCGTTGCTCTCCTTTTTCGATCTAATTTCTCTCATTTTCTGCCTCCACTTTCCACCGCTCAAATGGCAGAAATCCGTTAAATTCAAATCTGAGATACCAGGCGAACAGAAATCAGCAGAAGGTTGCTGGTTTTTTTAATTTCTCGTTTTTTCTTGTTTCTCTTTGTATTTCGTTGCTCTCTTTTTTCGATCTAATTTCTCTCATTTTCTGCCTCCACTTTCCACCGCTCAAATGGCAGAAAACCGTTAAATTCAAATCTGAGATACCAGGCGAACAGAAATCAGCAGAAAGTCGCTGGTTTTTTTAATTTCTCTTTTTTTTCTTGTTTCTCTTTGTATTTCGTTGCTCTCTTTTTTCGATCTAATTTCTCTCATTTTCTGCCTCCACTTTCCACCGCTCAAATGGCAGAAAACCGTTAAATTCAAATCTGAGATACCAGGCGAACAGAAATCAGCAGAAGGTTGCTGGTTTTTTTAATTTCTCGTTTTTTCTTGTTTCTCTTTGTATTTCGTTGCTCTCCTTTTTCGATCTAATTTCTCTCATTTTCTGCCTCCACTTTCCACCGCTCAAATGGCAGAAATCCGTTAAATTCAAATCTGAGATACCAGGCGAACAGAAATCAGCAGAAGGTCGCTGGTTTTTTTAATTTCTCGTTTTTTTTTTTTTTTTTTTTGATTCGTTGCTCTCTTTTTGATCTTTTTTTTCATTTTCTGCCTCCACTTTCCACCGCTCAAATGGCAGAAAACCGTTAAATTCAACTGATCTGAGATACCAGGCGAACAGAAATCAGCAGAAGGTCGCTGGTTTTTTTAATTTCTCGTTTTTTCTTGTTTCTCTTTGTATTTCGTTGCTCTCTTTTTTCGATCTAATTTCTCTCATTTTCTGCCTCCACTTTCCACCGCTCAAATGGCAGAAAACCGTTAAATTCAAATCTGAGATACCAGGCGAACAGAAATCAGCAGAAGGTCGCTGGTTTTTTTAATTTCTCGTTTTTTCTTGTTTCTCTTTGTATTTCGTTGCTCTCTTTTTTCGATCTAATTTCTCTCATTTTCTGCCTCCACTTTCCACCGCTCAAATGGCAGAAAACCGTTAAATTCAAATCTGAGATACCAGGCGAACAGAAATCAGCAGAAGGTCGCTGGTTTTTTTATTTCTTCTCGTTTTTTCTTGTTTCTCTTTGTATTTCGTTGCTCTCTTTTTTCGATCTAATTTCTCTCATTTTCTGCCTCCACTTTCCACCGCTCAAATGGCAGAAAACCGTTAAATTCAAATCTGAGACAGGCAGGCGAACAGAAATCAGCAGAAGGTCGCTGGTTTTTTTAATTTCTCGTTTTTTCTTGTTTCTCTTTGTATTTCGTTGCTCTCTTTTTTCGATCTAATTTCTCTCATTTTCTGCCTCCACTTTCCCCCGCTCAAATGGCAGAAAACCGTTAAATTCAAATCTGAGATACCAGGCGAACAGAAATCAGCAGAAGGTCGCTGGTTTTTTTAATTTCTCGTTTTTTCTTGTTTCTCTTTGTATTTCGTTGCTCTCTTTTTTCGATCTAATTTCTCTCATTTTCTGCCTCCACTTTCCACCGCTCAAATGGCAGAAAACCGTTAAATTCAAATCTGAGATACCAGGCGAACAGAAATCAGCAGAAGGTTGC